GAATCAGAAGTCAAACAGTCCACCTGGCAAGAGACACAGAAGGATTTAAGCCACCTAAAGAGGCTGGGAGGCCTTTCGTCTTAAAAGGGATTTGGAAAAAACGGGTTTGAGTCACTAACCCCCTACTGAGCTGGTGGTTCTCCAGCAATTCACAAGGTTGGAAGTATCAGAGAGAGAGAAGGCGGGAGGGAGAGAGAACAACAAAGAGAGAGACAGAAAGAGAAAGACAAAAAGAAAGAAAAAGAGACATATGTTACAAAGACAGAGAGAGAAAGAGAGAGATAGAGAGAAAGAGAGAGAGAGAAAAAAAGAGAACGACAAAGAGAGAAAGAGCAGGGAGACAGAAAGATAGAGAGAGAAAGAAACAGAAGGGAAAGAGGGAAAGAAAATAGAGAGAGTGGGAGGGAGGAAAATAAAGGTAGAAAGAAAAGGAAGGAAGGAGAGAGAGGATGAAGAGAGGAAGCAGAAAAGGAGAGAATAAAAGGCAGCCGGAAAGATAAAATGGAAAGAGAAGGAAGGAAGGAAGGAAGGAAGGAAGGAAGGAAGGAAGGAAAGAAGGAAGGAAGGAAGGAAAGACAGACAGACAGACAGACAGACAGACAAGATAGAAGGACAGACATCTTAGGTCCCTGGGAAAGTCTTCAAGAGGTGGATAAAAATCCCAACTCCCAAATGCTTTAAGAGGGGTGGACTCCAACTCCCATAATCCCCCCAGCCAGCTCAACTGGGGCTGAGCTTATAAGGGCTTCCACTTGGACTGGACCTTGCATGCGCCTCTCTCTGGAGCGGAAAATTGGTTAGTAAGCGGTTCAGTTAAATGAGGCATCTTATGATTGTGTCTCTTTTTACAACCTCGTTTTTTGACTGTTAGAGCAAGCAGTTGCATATAAACAGAGAACAAGCCCCCCGCACGTCTAGCACTGATGATGTTCCCCAGTTGGGTCAGGAGATGTCTGCAAGAAACACAGAAGCTCAGAGAGCACCAAGGACCCCCCCCCCAGTCCTTCCTCCTCCTCCTCCTCCTCCTTCTAGCCACTCTCTTTCCAGCACAGAAAGAAGAAATCCATACAAGAAAACACTGGTCCAGAGAGAGAGAGAGAGGGAGAGAGGGAGAGAGAGAGACAGGGAGGGAGAGAGAGAGAGAGAGAGAGGGGGGGAGGGAGGGAGGGAGAGGGAGAGAGAGAAAAGAGAAAAGGAAAGAAAGAGAAAGAAGAGAGAGAGAAGAGAGAGAGGGGGGAAAAAAGAGAAAGAACGAAATATAAGAGAAAAAAGAGAGAGAAATATAAGAGAAAAGTGAGAGAGAGAAAGAAGAGAAAGAGAGAGAGAGAAAGAAGAGAGAGAGAGAAAAAGAGAAAAGGAAAGAGAGAAAGAAGAGAGAGAGAAGAGAAAAAGAGAGAGAAATATAAAAAAGAGAGAGAAAGAGAAAGAGAGAGAGAAAGAAAAGAGAGAGAGAGAAAAGAGAAAAGGAAAGAAAGAGAAAAAAGAGAGAGAGAAAGAAAAGAGAGAGAGAAAAGAGAAAAGGAAAGAAAGAGAAAAAAGAGAGANCCACCACCATCTCCAGCTCAAGTCTGGAGAAGGTTGACATCTGGGTCTCCTTACCTCCTCCTCTTCCTCGCTCCCCTCCTTGATGGTGAGAGCTGGAGCTGCTTTGGTGATCAAGGGCGAGTGCTCCACAGGAACTTTGAACTTCGCCGCTGCTGCTTTGTGGACCTGTTGGGAGAAGTCTTCAATCTGCGGAAGAAAGCAATGGAGGACCTTCAGATCTTCCTCCATTCTGGAGGAGAAAGAGACCTGGCTTTAGCTCATTTCCAGGAGAAGACACCCAAGAAGATGTTCTCCAACACATCAAGATGGTTGGCCTAGAAGACCCTTCCATGTTCTACCAAGATGTTCTTCCACCAGGAATTTGAGAGGACCACTTCCCTAAATCTACATTTCCAATCTGATTTCTCCAACTTGAGAAATGAGATGAGAAGACGACAATCTCCTGGCCTCTCCAGTTAAGAAACAAACACCCCAATCCATCACAAAGCAGGAGGTCCCCAACGTACAACAATTCGTTTAGCGACCAACGTCAAAACCGCGATGAAAAAGTGACCTATGACCACATTTTCACACTTATGACCGTCACAGCATCCCGGTGATCCAAATTCTGACAACTTGGCAACGGACTTGCATTTATGATGGCTGTGGTGGCCGCTGGGGGTCACGTGATCCCCTTTGGTGACCTTTTGGACTAGCACAGTCAATGGGGAAGCCGGATTCACTTAACAACCATTGTGATTCACTTAACAGTGGTGATTCGCTTAACGGCCGAGGCAACCGTCTCACTTCCCAAAGGATGTTTTTGGCTCAATGGTTGTTCTACATTCAGGACTACCGGTGTTAAAAATAAGAATCTCCCTCCAAGTCTCTCTCTCCATTCCTTTCTCTCCTCCCTCCCTACTTTCATTCTTTCTTGCATTTCTCCCTCCTCGCTCCCTCTCACCCTTCTTCTTTCCTTTCTCCCTTTTTACTCCCTTTCTCCTTCCTTCCTTATCTCTCCTTCCTTTTCATTCCTTCCTGCTTCCCTTTCTCCTTCCTTTCTTCCATCTATCCTTCTCCTATCTCTCCTTCCTTCCTTGCCACCACCTTCTTTTCCATTCCCTTCCCTCCCTCCCTCATCCCATCTCTCCTTCCTCCTTATTTTTTTCCTTTCTCATTCCCTTTCTCCTTCCATCCTTCCTTCCATCTTTTTCCTATCTCCTTCCTTTTCTCCTATCTCTCCTTCCTCCTTCCTTTTCTCATTCCTTCCATCCTCCTTTCTCCTATCCTTCTTTCCTTTCTTCCCTCCCTCCCTCCTTCAGTTCTCTTCCACCTTCTCAGCTCACCTTGGCTTCTCCAAAGACGATGTAGATGTCGGAAGCTGGACTTTTGAAGACATCCGGCTTGGTGATGACAAACAAGATATTCTTGGATTTACGGATGGTTATCCTGGTCACACCATGGATCTGCCGCAGACCCAACTTGGACATGGCCTGGGGGCAAAGAAGAAGACCACACACAGCCCGTTGACACCATGTTGACGGGCTTGTAACCACACCACGAAGAAAGGAACTCATAACACCCTCAAAAGCCACAGAATAAAGCTAAGGGGGCCTCCTGTAGGCCATGTGGTCAACCCAGGAGCTGGTTGAAGAACCAGGAGAAGGAGGAACCTTGTCCCATCCAATGCATATGTTATATGTACCAGAAATTAGGTTTAATTTGCTTTCAGTTAGAGTTTTGGTTAATCATGGCTACATTGTAACATTTAAAGGGGATAATTGTTTTATTGAAAAAGGGAGTATTAATTCTAATGTTGTTAATTCTGTGTGTTCGAACGTTAAACCACACAATGAGTGTATTCACTTAATGCATAGGCGAATGGGACATATCAGTTTCAAAATGTTGCAAGAAAAGGTGAAGTTAATTGATGGAGTGAAGATAAAGCAATGTAGGCAGTATATAAATTGTAATGTTTGCAATGAACAGAAGAGTAGAGCTATTCCA